TTAAATAAGTGCCAACGCGCATAAAGAAGATTTCACTGCAAAAAAAATAACAATAATAAAAACTATACAAAACGTAAATAAATAAAAAAACATATACCTCTCGTGTTCGAACTCAACACCACTCGCAGGAGCGTTTTTTGCATTAGACCAAGCCAATACTTCAAATAAACAAATAAATAAATATTTCCAACACTCACACCAATTAGCCTAGCCCCAAAGTAAGCACTATAAGGCTTGTGTTATGGGATACTAGGGTTACGGATACAATACATATACTGTACATATATAAGTATATTTATATAGAATTACATATTAAACATCCATGACTGGAGTTGGAGTACAAATGCTCGTATTCAGCACACAAACATCTGCCCCCACCGGGATTTGAACCCGGGACCTCTCTCGTCGGCGACACCATGAAACCCGGCGTACAAACCACTCGGCCACGGAGGTCGTCAAAAAAACATTGCCATTAATGTTTACAATAATGGTAATTTGCTAGATGAGCTAGATTCTAAAATAATATATAATTATTATTTTGTTTATTTATTAATTTATTTATTATCCGCTAAACCAAAATTCTATTTTTGTAGTAATATCATTTATTGATCAGAGTAATCATATGTCTTGTAACAAAAACTAGAAGTATTTATCGCCGAAGATATATTTATATCAAAGTGTTTGGTATACAAATACAAAAGTTGGTGAGTTATATCAGTCGCATGCATTATTTATGGACGTTGTTTCTTTGAAAGACAGTATAAAAGAATTATTGTATAGATTTTCCACTTAGGTAAAGATCTTGGGTATCTTACTTATATAAGTTGAGACTATGATCGTGAACACGGATTCCAGAGTAGGATTTAAGCAGTGAGCCAAGGTTTGTGGGTCGCATAACCTGACTTCACATTAATTATATGCAGTAGAGTGATTCGCTTGGATTGCTCCTCTATAGATAAATTTACGATGAATACAACTGAAAAAATATGTCGTAGATTTTACGAAATCTGAAAGTATGTATGAAAATACGATAGCTAATTTATAAAAACTGGGAAATTATGTGAAAATATGTAGTATTTTGTCAACTAAAATAGGGACGCCTATTTGTTAGTAAATATATTTACCTTTATGTCTTGAGTATACAGACCACGGATCCATGGATTATCTTCAACATAAAAATAGCTTTAAAATATAACTGAAAATTTAATATCATCTAAAACAAACAACATGAGCAACCAATAATCAATTCCAACCCAATTGATAAGTAAAAATATTATGAATACATTAAAAGGATAAATTATGTACTGCCGACATTGCCCACATTTACTAGATACATTATTATATATAAATGTTTGGTTTTAATTTTTTGGTATACACGATTCTTTATTTAGACATAATAAAACAAATTTCTTTCCTTTTAAAAACATTTAAATAACAGAAAGATATAAATCTGTATATATAAAAGGCAACTGTTACTGACTGACTGATCTATCAACGCACAGCTAAAACAACTGAACCAATTGCGCTAAATTTAGCACACATATAGCTATTATGATGCAGGCGTGCGCTATGAAAAGATTTTTCAAAACTCCTTAAAGTGGTAAAACGGGCGTACATATTTTGTAAAGAGCACCAAAATCGCAGGGTTTATCCTTTAACTAACTAAACAAATTCTCCAGGGTTATCAGGGTTTTAAAAAAATCAACCCTTAATGAAGTAAAAAACAATATGGTTAGCGCTCTAAGATATGAGTGGCCGCTGGTTACGAAAATGACATCGGTGTTACAATGCACAAGGCAGAAATAAAATATAAGTAATCAAGACCCTTTCATTATTAGCAAATCAAAACACGCGAATCTTATATCTTACACTCGCGAAATGACATTATTTTTGTCTCGGTGTGCATGCGTAAGATACCAGGTTAGACCACATTCCCCAAAAAAGAGCGTATAAACTTAATCAAATCAAAATGAATATATTGTTCACACAATTAAAAATAATAGACGTTGAAACATCTGTAAAACGTTTAAATTTATACTTGGATATTTGAAATAAAAAGTTGTAATTTTTTGTACACTTAACTATTAAATAAAATTAAGTCATATCGTCAAAATAACTATACTTTTTATAAAACATTGATGACCTAGTAAATAACTATGTTCTATAGCTAAGAAAAATATAAACAAAACCGATTACTATTAAACCTGTTTTTTTTTATTTTTGTCATGTTAGTAAAAGATGAAACTGGTGAGATTTTGAACTCCAAAACTTTCATAAAACAGTGACGATATCAACAAAAGTAATAATTTATAATTTTTTCACTTTAAAAAAAGTTATGCTCGTCCTATCAGAAAAGGATTAAAGGTCTCTGTTCTATATCTCTCACTCATCCCTTTTCATCGGTAAAGTACTGAGTCTTGGTTATATAGAATGTCCATCGGTACGAGACTCTGAAGTTCCTTTTATTTTTTTCAAAAATGGAATAAACTTTTTAATGTTCCGTCTACTTTTCGAGACAATTAAAGGACAATGTTAAATTTGGCCTAAGAACCAACACCAATTTGGCATTTATGATAATTCTTAGTTTATTTTTTGCGATAATTATCAGTATTTAGATTGTGACGGACACTTCCAGTTAAGTAAGCTATATTAAAAAGTTAAAAAATAATCTGAGACTACCATTTTATGTGTATAATCTATGGCAGCGCTGCAAACAAAACACTCTTTCTTCCTAATGCCGGCATTTCACTTGGCTATTCGTGTTTGCTTTTTGAAAACATTACATCAATCTGTTCTTTTTATTCCATATGAAGCATGACAAGTTTTCCAATTACAGATCATAATGCGTCTCAGTGGCGCACAATGCCGAATTATGCTGATGCTTAATTGGAACGTGAATTAGTTTTCAAATGCACCAGTAGAGTGCGCTAAGTTCAGTGTTGAAAAAAAAGTCAATGTTTGTACCTTCATCCATACTTATATTTATTTTTTAACACAGTTTAAATTAACTATGTTTATTTAAAAAAAAACTGCAGTGAAAAGAAAACTTTCAAAAAATTTCAACATTAAATAATATTACTAACGATTTTTAATAAATAAAACATTTCGATCAATGCCAACTTAAAGAAAAAACACTTCTTAATTTTCTGTCACTGAGTTGGCACGATTGCACGCATCAGACAAAAACATTACTTTTGAGAGTACTCGATTGTGCGAAGCGTTGCTGTAGTTGAAACATTCAACGACAGGCATTATGCCGCATAATGCGCTGTAGTGCTGTAATTGGAAAACTACCAATGACAGATTGTTGTTAAGTAAAGGGCCGGCATAAAACTTGATACTCTGTGGTTATGGTGCAGGCAGTTTGCATTCGTAGTAATCTGTGGCATTCGTGGATTCTCGTTTCGGATTTCCTTTTGTGTGTGTTTATTTGCGATTGTTTTTTCTTTAATTTAACTATTTCGGCTAACTTATATGCCATCGATGTTACCAAATAGCAGACCCCTTATTACTAAGTGCTAGAGAATGTGCCACAACATCCTGAGAGGATCATACATACTGCCAAATTATTCAAGAGCAGCTGATACACATTCACGCTGCATATTTATACAATATACATGTGATATACAAATAAAATACAGTATGATACAGTTATGTGAAAAATAGTTATAAAATAAAAAGCAAAACTACAGTTTTTATTTTATTCACGATTCCTACCTTACCAAGTTTTTCCTAATAGCTATTCTTTAAAATCGCATCGAATAAAAATGAATTAGTTGTAATATTAATTCAATTCATACTGAGTTCATACTAAGTTCATAGGTTGACCTATGTTTCATTGAATATTAAACATAACCTCAAAAAATATTTAGTTTTCCTAATAATTTAAGTTCTCAGAAGTGTCCGTCAATAATCTTTGTTTTTACAGTCATTTACCTGCGATTTCGAACCTAGAAAATACTATTTCATGATTGTTGGTTCTTAGGCTAACAATATATGAACGCCGAACAATGTCCTTTGTATCGATATGAAAAAAAAAAACTATTCTCAATCGCACTGCTGCAATTGGTAAATATTTTGATTACGCTATACTTACATTTTGGGGAATTATGTAATGAGACACTGAAATCACTTTAAAAATGTCCAGATGGAGTCGTAATTTTTTTGACTAATATAATTTTTTAAGGTGAATAATGACTTACTGATCCATAGTGAGTGACTTTGTTGGTTGTTTTTAGGCGTCCTTTATGATTTCGGCAAACTTTTATTGCGCAGCCCGGCATTTCAAAGCAATAATGTCAACACGAAACTCTGTAATTGATGTGCGTATCGCTCAGCGTTGCATTGAACACTAAGTGATCATAAGTGACGGGAAACGACTTAGAGAGATATTTGTTTCAACATCATCTCCGCTGCCACGCTCTATCTAGACAGTAAATAATCAAAGGTTACAATATTATATATTGATATTTATTTTACTATTTTCGGCACAACAAAATAAACCTGATCTACCTACCCGTAGGGAAAACAAATTCCGACAAAAACCTGAAAGTTTTTTTAGATTTTTTTATCTAGCAGTTTAATGTTTAAATAATATTGGAACTAACGTTATTTGCTATTTTTCTAAATTATTATCAAAGCCAAGACCCTTTTTGCCTTTAAAGAAGTTTTGTAGAGTTTTGTTTATTTACTGAGTTTGACATTCATTTATTCACTAAAAATCAAAGCTAACGCGAGCGAAGCCGCGGGAAAAAGGTAGTAATTGTATAAATACAATACAAATTTAATAAACGAGTGGTTTTAATAGAACTGAGAATACTTTTTTTGCCTTGTAGCTTCAAAATATGAGTATGTCCAATATTTATCGTTAAAGATAAGATTATTTTGTGATATACTTACAAGCGAGTGGATTCAGTTGATTGTGTTGTTTCGTTCCAATTATTCTGTTTTCAGTCTGTTATTGTTTATTGTTTTAAATAGTCACACCTTTGATTACACTAATGGGAATCTTTTGTAAAATAGGCGTTGTGGAAGACAAAAATGAGTTAACCCCAGGAAGTGTTGTCAGTGGGGCTATCAAATACGCTTTTGATAAAGACACTGTTGTCAAGAGAATAGTTATATCATTAAAGGGACGTGGCCATTTATGTATTACTAATCATTCTGAAACAGGCAGCAGTCAAAGTAGTTCTTCAGATACGATGTCGGAACTGTACGTTTCCATCGAGAATGTGATTTTGAATGATATTAGTGGAGAACACCTTGAAAACGGAGAATATGATACACCGTTTAACTTCTTACTACCAGAAAACATCCCAGGGTCTCTAAAATATGAAGAAACTGGTCTTTCTACTGATATAGAATGCAAAATTGCTTACTTTATTAGAATCAAATTCGAGGTTATAGGTTTTCTGAAATTTAACAAAAAATTCGAAAAAGAAATAAATATTGCCCATGTTCTGAAGCCGAGGCTGTCAATGGAACCAGTAACTTATGGAGCACGGAATCAGTTTTTCCAGCCATTCAAAATCAAAAAAAGTTTTGTCAATGTGAAAGCGTGCATAAAGTGCTCTGTGCTCGAGCCTGGTGGCAAAGTAGAGATCGCTTATGAAGTTCTGAATGATTCTAATAAAATAGTTGAAGCTATTGAAACTAAATTAGTGACCGTTTACAAATTCTACTACCACCACGATGAGAAGAATTATTTTAAACCTGAACCTGAAGAGGTGAAGAACACTGAATCGAAGACATCAGCAATAAAAAGTGGTGAAACATTAGAATCGTCTTTTGAAATAGAAATACCATTTGATTTGCATTGCATAGGAGATAATAAATTAGTATCTAGGGATTATGCTGTGGCTATAATAGCTCACCTACCGATGCCTCATATTAACGTGCGGCTTGAAATACCGATACAGGTGGGCAAGACATCTGTAGTACACCCTGTATCAAATATTGACGGCAGCCCCGTAGAATATGATTCACCACCGTCCTATTGGGAAGCAATGAACGTTGCAAATGAAAAGGGTGTTTCGTCTGACAACAGATTCTTTGGCGATGCCAAAAAGTGATTGTGTTTTTATGATCTTGCTTTTGTGTCATTTATATGTAATTCATAAATTGATGATACTAAAAGCAGTAAGAATACACTGGGGGTTATTGGATGTAAAGGAAACAAATTAAAGAAATACATAAAAATTAATAAATACATAAAGAAAACTCAAAAACTTGTAAAAAAACAAAAGTTCTTTATGAAAAATGTAAAATTTAACAAGGAGAGATTGCAATTAATTGATACATTGGATATATATTCTGCAAAATATGACAACATTAGCTTAAGATATAAAAAAGACACACAAATATTACAAAGTAAAATTGAACAATTACAAGAGTGTCTCTTAAGTGTTACAAAAAAATATGAATTGTCACAAAAAGAAATAAAGGAACACATGAAGGCAATGAATGAGTTGGTTGAATTATGTAATTATAACAATGAGAGATTTCATTCCTTAACTAACAATCACACATGTGATTGTAAACAGTTCACAGCTCAGTCACCTGCCAATTGTGATTCCTCCATATCACAATGTGTTATTGTTAATTCCCCACAGCCGCCATCAAATAAATGTTTGACCACAGTGAAAACAATTCACTCAGACTTAGTTTTAGATAATAATTATAAAAACATCATATTATTTAGTGATGAAATTGGCAAGGGCATGGGCCCTCTTTTGTCTAAAATGGGACATTCAGTTATCAATCACTGTATGCCTAATGTTTCATATGGGGATATTTTAGGAAAGGCAACCAAACAAAATTACAATAAATGCGCTACTCTGTTATTTTTTGTTGGAAATAGAGGCAATGTGAACAAAAAATGATTGATCCAATATGTTAATGAATTGAGTTCTTTAAATGTTGAAAAAATTATATTGTTTACATTGCCCTATTGTAGGAGTCTGCCAAAGGAGGAAAATTTATTAAGATATCAATTAAATATGCTTTTATTCACAATGTGTAAAAGTGAAAAATTTCATGTTATTGACACTAACAATTATGTTAGGAATTTATATTTGACCAAAGATAAATATTATCTTTCTAATTATTGTAAAAGACAGATAGCTAAGTCGCTATCATATTATTTTTATATAACAGCCAAAAACTTGGCTAAACAAATTGCTTTTATTGAGCAATGTTCTATTAATAACTTGACAGTCAGTAGCTCTTCTACTGACAAATTAGTAAATAATAATTATTGTTTAAATTAAATAATGAGACAAAAGACAATTCCTCTTGCATATTAATAAATAATAATTGTTATAACTCTCATAAAAATATTAATTTAACCAAAAAAAATCCATCCAAAAACTTAAAAATCAATGTAAACTTTATCAACCTGATGCATATAAATATTCAAGGAATGATGGGTAAGGATTTAGAAATTGAATTATTTATGAATTGTAACAATATAGATATATTTTGTATCACAGAACATTGGCTTAAAAGTCATCAATTCATGTTTAATTTTAATAATCATCAGGTTGGTAGTTCGTTCAGTCGAGAAAATGCAATTCGCGGTGGCTCTTTAATTTTATTAAATAATACACTTAAATTTAAGGAACGTAAAGATATTGTGAGCCTCTCGGTTGAGCGAACAATAGAAATCGCCTGTGTGGAACTGGACCGGCTTATTGTACTGAGTGTATACAAACCTCCTTCAGCATTGTATGATTGTTTTGAAGAAATTATGGATGAAGCTTTAAAAAAAATTGTCATCACTGGTAAACAATTAATTGTTTGTGGTGACTTTAATATTAATCTATTAGAAACCTCTAGTTTGAGTATTAAATTAAGAAATCTATTTCAATCATATAATCTGGAAAACTTGTTCATGGAGCCTACTAGAATAACGGCCACTTCGGCCACTTGTATTGACAATATTTATACGGATATAATACCACATAAAAAAAGAATCGTTAATCAACTAGATAGTGATCATTGTGGTCAGTTGATTACTTTTCCACATCCAAATAAAAATGGAACCAAGAAATGTATCACTATTGTGCCAAAATCAGTTAATCGTATACAGCGTTTTAAAATTCAATTAGATAGGAAGTTGAGTTATTTAAAGTATAAAGACAGTCCAAATGAGTTGTATAATGATTTTTTTAATATATTTTGTAAAGAATTTAATGACGTCTTCGTTCCCAAAACCATATGTGTTAGTGATGCAGTAACCTTCAGTGAGTGGGCCACCCCAGGCATACATAACAGTAGAAGAAAACTTTATGAACTATACAATGAACGCAGCATTAATACTACTGAAAGATTCAGAGAGTATGTACGTAATTATTCTAAGTTATTTAAAAAGGTATGTCGCACAGCTAAATCAAATTATTTAAGTTGTAAGATTAAGAATAGTAATGACAAAATTAAAATGACATGGAACATTATAAACAATGAAACTGGAAAATCTAAATCTCGAAATACCAGCTTTAATTTAAACATTGAAAATAGAAATGTTACATCAGATACTGAAGTTGCTACAGCATTTGAGAATTTTTTTACTGATATTCCAGTTTCAACTACAAAATCCTTGGACTCCTCCCCCATTGCTGCTGAATCAATATTAAAAGAAAACATAACACAAGGTACTAGTCAATTTAAATTTAAATATGTTAACTCTAAAGACATAATCAAATATTTTAACCAATTGAATAAAAAGAAAACCGCGGATCTGTGGGGTAACTCCGTGGATGTTTCTAGATCAGTAATTGAGACAATAGCTCCTATTCTGGCTAGCATTTTTAATCAATGTGTTGACTGTGGTGTTTTTCCTGATCTAATGAAACATAGTAAAATAACTCCATTGCATAAATCGGGTAGCACATCTGACCCCACAAATTTTAGACCCATATCCGTGCTACCCACCTTTAGTAAGATTTTTGAAAAGATTATGCTAGATCAAATGCAATCATATTTTTATAGTAATAACTTTCTGCATAGTAAACAATTTGGTTTCACAAGGGGTCGCTCAACAACCGATGCCGGTGTTGAGCTTGTACAGCAAATTTTTGATGCCTGGGAGAACTCGCATGATGCACTTGGTGTGTTTTGCGACTTATCAAAGGCATTCGATTGCGTTTTTCATGAAACATTGATCAGGAAACTACAGCACTATGGATTTAGAGACACCACTCTGGATCTTATTGTATCATATTTGAGTGATAGGGTTCAGCGGGTTGACATCAATGGAGAAAAATCTCCTGGTTCGTCGGTTAAGATGGGAGTTCCGCAGGGCTCAATCCTTGGTCCTTTCTTATTTTTAATTTATATCAATGATTTGCCTTATTTTGTAAAGGATAACCATGAAATAGTATTGTTTGCGGATGACACTTCACTTTTGTTTAAAATTAAACGTAGGCAGTCGCAAATTGACGACGTGAACAAGTCTATTTCTAAGGTAGTCCACTGGTTTAACGTTAATAATTTACTGCTAAATGAAGGGAAAACTAAGTGTTTGAAATTTGTTTTACCTAATGTTAAACAGGTAAAAACGAATGTAAATATAAAGGATCGAAATGTGAGCCTTGTAGATACCACAGTGTTCTTAGGAATCACACTAGATTCAAAGTTGCAATGGGGCCCACATATTGATAAATTGTCGAAGAGACTTAGCTCTGCAGCATATGCTGTAATGAAAATACGTCAGTTAACGGATATAGAAACTGCCAGATTAGTCTATTTTAGTTATTTTCATAGTGTAATGTCTTACGGTATTTTACTGTGGGGAAATGCCGCCGATATTCAAACAATATTTGTGTTGCAGAAGCGGGCTATTCGATCAATTTATAATCTTAAAGTTAAGGACTCTTTAAGAAATAAGTTTAAAGAAATAGGCATAATGACGGTTGCATCACAATACATATATGAAAACTTAGTATATGTCAAAAAAAATATTAGTTTATTTACTAAAAATAGTGAAATACATACACTTAATACTAGAAGTAAAAATAAGTTAACTTTACCTGCTACTAGGCTCCACAAAATTAATAACTCGTTTAGAGGCCTCTGTGTTCGCTTTTACAATAAAGTCCCAAGCAATATTCAAGAGTTGAGCCTGACTAAATTTAAATCGACTATTAAAAAAACTCTTATTAAGAATGCTTATTATAAAGTGTCTGATTATATTACAGACAAAAATGCTTGGGTTTGAACTGTTCCAACCATTCCAACGGGTATTTCTATATGATATATATTATGGATCATGTGTTGATGATACTTTTATTGAAAAGCTGTATTTAAAGCTGATTACGTAAGGAAGAATATCAGACTATTTAAGAAGATTTGAATGACAAAACGGCGTGGTCATGATTTCTCCATTGTTTTTGCTTTGTAATTGTTTGCAGTGTCCTACAGATAAATGACTTTAAGTTTAAGTAAATATGTTGTGGTTGATATAGGTGGTTATGGGTAGTCATGCTCTCTTAAAAGTCTCTTCGGTGGTGTCGTGTGAGGCGGGTCGTTACGTTCCCTAAAATATGGTTGAGCGAAGCGATGGCTGGTTCATGCGTCATGCTCGTGAACGGGTGCTGCTAGCGGAGATGAGTCTGCCCTAACTACTTTGATATTTAAGATATAAATGTTTCATTACACCTATTATAAATAACTCTGTTTGTATTTATACTGTGTGACACAGCAATCAAAATGCAGGTGTACAATTAATGTATAATTTCACATTATGTAATGAAGGGTGACTTCATGAATCATCTCTGAAGTCATTTTTCAACTTGACGACTCTGTAAATGATAAAACAGGGAGAAAAAAACAGCCCTTGCTGAGTTTCTTGCCGGTTCTTCTCAGTACAAGGTCTCCCGCCGTAGATTTACGAACCGATGGCGTAGCTTCTCGACATTCATATGTGCTTGTAACAGCCTAAACTGAATAAATGATTTTGATTGATTGATTGATAAATTGAAAATTTTGAATTATCAACGAGATAAAAGTCAGTTTTTGTTATTTTTTTAACAGTCAAGTTATCTATCGAAAATGTATAAATGTGTGGATGTAA